GCGGCGCGGGGCTGCCCGGGGCCCTGCCGGCGCCGCCATCTTGGCCCCGGCAGCAGGCGGAGCTCGGCTCAGGGTGGCTTCGACGCGGCAGCGCCCCAGAGAGGGCCGCCTGATAACACCACCCCCCGGCAACGCTAGAGCAGGGGCTGCCGGCGATACCGCTCCCAGACGGGCGCGCCAAGGGCACTCGGGGTCTTTCTGCACCGAGGCCCTCTGCCCAGCGGGGTCTTTCCGTCGCGGAGGTCTGCCCCGCACGCTGCCTGATTTAAAAAAACCCCCAAACACTCAAAGCGGTGGGGGGGGAAGAGGCTTGTTGCCCAGCAACACCACGGGCGCTGCCTGTTGCCTGGCAATCAGGTGCCCCTCCCCCGCGCCTGCCAATGACGTCATCGGTCAACAGTTACCGTTGCTCTTGTGGCCCTGGGGAGCGTGGCCAGAAGTGGAGCGCGGCACTTCCGGCAACGAACCCGGAAGCGGAAGTGGTGTGGAAGGGTGCCCGCGTGCGGGAGCAGCATGGAGGTTGTGGCGGCAGGCGCGGGAGCGGCGGCGGCGGCCCCGGCCGCGCTGCTCTCGTTGGACCCGCAGCTGCAGCGCCAGTTCCAGGCCAAGGTGCAGCGCGTCCGCGCCGCCAAGGTGAGCGCCTTGCGGGGAGAGCGGCCGCGGAGGTGGGTGGGGAGGAGGCTCCGAGGTCTCCCTCGGTCGGGCCTGCTGCTGACGGTGCCCGGCCTTGTTCCCGCAGCACGAGAGGCTGACCCCGGGCGTGGTGTATTTGGGACACATCCCGAAGGGTCTTTACGAGCCGCAGCTGCGCGAGTACTTCAGCCAGTTTGGGACTGTCACCAGGTTGCGCTTGGCCAGGAGTAAAAAGGTAAAAAGTAAAAGGTTTCACCTTGTTCTGCAGCTCGGTTGCATCGTGCTTGACAAAGCCCCGGGTGGGAGGATATGCTTTGAGCAGGGGGTTGGGGTAGGGCAGTGGTCGGTCCTCAACCAGTGCGTGGGGAAGTTTTGAACTCTGTCCGGCTGCAAGGGTACACCCATGGTTTCCCATGGTTTTTCCCCTTAAAAATGGACTCTCCTTTAGAAGTTTGCTTGCAATCATATATTCTTGCAACTCGCTTTTGGGTCGTGACCCACGGGTGAACAAGTGCTGATCTAGATGTGACCTGAGGTTCCTTCTGGCGCTCCTGTCCTATGATTGTATTCTCTATTGCTGTCGTAGTTTCATAGTTTCTAGGGTCGGAAGGGACCTGAGCAGATCATCTAGTCCGACCCCCTGCCATGGCAGGAAGAGCACTGGGGTCAAATGACCCCAGTAAGGTGGTCATCCAACCTCCTCTTAAAAACCCCCAGGGTGGGAGCCTGCACCACCTCACTTGGAAGCTGGTTCCAGACCCTAGCCGCCCTGACCGTGAAGTAGCGCCTCCTGATGTCCAACTTAAACCTTCCCTCCGCCAGCTTGTGACCGTTGTTCCTGGTCACTCCTTGCGGCGCTCGGGGGAACAGGGACTCCCCCAGCGCCTGCTGATCCCCCCTAACCAGTTTATAACAGGCCACAAGATCCCCCCTCAGCCTTCTCTTTTGAAGGCTGAACAGGTTCAGGTCCCGCAACCTTTCCTCATAGGACCTACCCTGCTGTCCCTTGATCATACGAGTGGCCCTCCTCTGGACCCTCTCGATGCTGTCCACATCCCTCTTAAAGTGCGGCGCCCAGAACTGGACGCAGTACTCCAGCTGCGGCCTGACCAGTGCCGCATAGAGGGGGAGGATCACCTCCTTGGACCTGCTCGAGATGCATCTGTGGATGCACGACAAGGTGCAGTTGGCCTTCCTAACCGCCTCCCCACATTGCCGACTCATGTTCATCCTGGAGTCAATAATGACTCCCAGATCCTTTTCCACCTCCGTGCTGACAAGAGGGGAGTTCCCCAGCCTGTATGTATGGTGCCGATTGTTCCTCCCCAGGTGCATCACCTTACACTTGTCCGTGTTAAACCCCATCCTGTTCTCCTCCGCCCATCCTTGTAACCTATCTAGGTCCAACTGTAGCCTGTTGCTCCCCTCTATTGTGTCCACATCCCCCCACATCTTAGTGTCATCAGCAAACTTGAACATAGCTCACTGGCTAGATTCATAGATTGGAAGGGGCTGGAAGGCACCTTGCAAGATCATCGGGTCCAGCCCCCTGCACCAGGCAGGAAAGATAATGGGTCAGGAGACCCTAGCAAGGTGACCGTCCAGTCTTCTCTTGGAGATTTCTGGGGTAGGCGATTGCATCACCTCTGGAGGGAACTTACTCCACAATCTGGACACCCGAAACGTGAAGAAATTTTTCCTACTGTTGAGCCTGAATCGGTTTCCCAAGAGTTTGTGGCCATTGCTCTTGGTTTTCCCCAAGGGTGCAGGGTGAACAGTTGTTTGCTGAGCCCTTGATGTATTCCCCTGACGTAGTGGTAAGCTCCTACCAAGCCTTCTCTCAGCCTTCTCCTTTTTAGGCTGAAGAGGCCCAAGTCCCTCAGCCTTTCCTCATATGGCTTGCCGTGCAAGTCTGATAATACGGGTGGCCCTTTTCTGGACCCTCTCAAGCTTTTCCATGTCCCTGTTGAAGTGTAGCAGCCAGACCTGGACGCAGTCCTCCAGCTGTGTCTCACCAGTGCCGAGTAGAATCACCTCCTTGGCTTTGTTGGAGATGCATCGGTTGATGCATGCCAGGGTATTGATTGCCCTACTGGCTACAGCTTCGTGTTGCCAGGTCGTGTTCGTGCTGTGGTCTGTTATTACCCCCAGGTCCCTTTCAGTCATGGCTAGTTGGCGTCTTGTCTCTCCTGCTCTGCTTTCGCCATCATAAGTTTCCCCAGTTGGACGTGACCGTTTTGTTCGGTGTTAGCTTTTTATTATGTTTTCTCTGAAGTTCATTCTCAGCTGTGCTCTTCCAGTCTCATAACTCTGGCACCTTTCTTCACAACCAGATTCACTTCACTGAGGGACGTTATCAGAGCAGTCAAAATTCACCTCAAGTCTTAGAGCATGGAGGAGCGATGGGATCTCTGAGCTTCCCGACTGCTTTGCTTGCGTTTAATGAGCCGTGTTTCTACAGATGCTTGTGTTTTCATTTTTTACATCATCAGCAAGGCAACGGCTCTTCACTTGGTGGCATAAATTTTAGTTGGTTACAGATATGCAGTAAAATAGAGTTGAGTCATGTTTTTGGAAATGATGTAACGTGAACCAGTTTACTTGTGGGATTAGTGACTGACCTAAAACGCATATAGTTTATACTGAGGGCTTGGAGTTGTTTTTGTTTCTTTGAGAACAGATCGTGACCCCTTGAAACCTAAGGCAGCAGCTAGAGTTGTTTTGGTATTTGGCGCCTAAACACCCCTCTAGTTTTCTGATACTGTTGTTATCATCTGCAGACTGGAAGCAGTAAAGGCTATGCGTTTGTAGAGTTTGAGTCCGATGATGTTGCTAAGATCGTGGCAGATACCATGAACAACTACCTCTTCTGTGAAAGGCTTCTGAAATGTGAGTGTGTATCTCCGGTACCTGTTGTGGGAGGGAATGTATTCGTTGCACATGTGGGTGTTTTTTCTGGACAATTTGGGAATTTCTTCACTGCAACATTAGAGTTCCAGCGCAAGAAGATTTTTCAGATGAACGCCCCAGTTTACTTGCTTGGTTTCTTTCTCTATGAGGATCTCTCCTGCATGGGGGTGCCTCTGGTGATCTTTAATTTCCTACCACGTTTCAATTTAAATTAAAAAATTAGAACAGTGTTTCAAGTCCTAGTGATGGGACCTCTGTTGTCTTTTATGGTATAAAACCACTCCACATAGAAGCGTTCATTTGGATAGAAACTCTTTTCTACCCATGCTCTGCTGCAACCACTATTATTTAATTACATAGATTTACTGTGGGTGGGTTAAAAACTCAGTGCAGCTGGCAAGATGTTCAGAGATGCTGAGCTAAGCACATACCATTCTTGAAAACAGTAAGAACTGCAGGTGAAAATCAGGCTGTCTTGGAGAGCCCAGTGCTCTGAATCCCCTGCCACTTCATGCCATGGCTATCCATAACAATGACTAAGGGAGCTTACCTTTTGCTAGGCTGATGTAATGCTGGTGTATAGTGGGTGGATAATAATTACTGAGTATCAGTATAGAAAGCAACATACAGCGGGTCTATGTACAATGGTGATTGATGTTTATTAATATAATTTAGGCAAAAATGAATGGCTTCTCTCTAACTTGGGGATGTCTCATTGTCCCAGGTCAGTTCATGCCACCTGAAAAAGTCCATGAAAACCTTTTCAAAGGCAGTGAGACTAATTTTAGGAAGCCGTCGCGTCCAGCAGTCAAGCGGTATAACAAGCAGCGATCGCTCAAAGACAAGAAAAAGATGACAGAGAGGCTACTTAGAAAGGAAAGGATGTTACGCAAGCGGCTGGCCGAGAAAGGCATAGATTACGACTTCCCTGGATTTGTAAGTAAATGCAGAGTTTGTGCCCAAGACTGGGACACCAAGGAGAAAGTATGGAGGTGGGGAGTAATCTAGCAACAAGGCAGTGACTGAGTTGGTGTTAAGGGGCCCATGAGAGCTTTCATGAATCACTATGAGCGTTTTTACATGTGGTCTCAATGTGGTGCCAGGTGCCTTTAATTAGCGAGCCATATGCCACATGTATCAGCAGTGTGCTTTGAAATGAAGCTCACTAAATGTGCTTTATTTCAAAGTGCACTGCTGCTATTTTCTCAGGATGGAGATGTGTTGCACGTGATGCACGAGGATGCCAGAGCACGTTAGTTTACGTGCTCCAGCAGACTCAATCTGGTAGACTTAATCAAATCTGTTCCAACGTGCTGAATTTCCAGCACATCAGAGCAGGCTGCCGCATGTGTGTAAGTGCCCTATGTGGCCTTGCTGCCCCATTTGGTCAGTGTGATTTCAGTGACACTGCTCTTTCTTGGAGAAGGCTGTGGCAGACTCAAAAACTGATCTTTGATTTGTGTTGCTATGTGGTGGTTGTCTCTGAAGAGCTTAGAGACTGCACTGTAATGCCTGAGCACTAGGGCTTTGCAAAATTTTACTGGCAGTTTCGTTTCGACATTATTTCGACTCGTTTCGAGCTCGAAACAGCAAAATCGCAACAAAACAGAGAGCTTTGAAACAGCCTTGAAATGAGGGAAGTCGAAACATTTTGAAAATTTCAAAATGTTTCGAAGCTCAAGGTGGGCTTGCCTGCAGGGAAACAGAAACTAAAGTAAGGAGAGGGTGTGGGGAGCGCTCTCATTGACTGTGTAAGCTGGCCAATGACTGTGATCCTTTCCTGAGGTCCCTTCCAATCCCAGTGCTCTGGGGGAGGGATGGAAAAACTACATCGAAGGCAACATTGTTTGAACTGTCCTGCTTTCTTCCTTTGTGTCAGTTGGGTGAGGGTGCACCTTAATACACAGTGTCACCCACCCATGTCACGAGTTTTGCCTGTCACCAGCTAGGGGTGCAGTGCCCCAGAACCCAGACTCCCCCTGCACTGATCTCCTTGAAAGCTGGCAGGCTTCGTGGCCGCAGCAGGGGCCACCATCCCTGCAGCTTTCACCTTCTTGCACCTTAATGCACAGTGTCACCCATGTCACGAGTTTTGCTTGTCCGCAGCTTGAGGTGCAGTTTTCCCCAAACCCTGCACCTATCTCCTTGAAACTTGGCAGGCTTTGTGGCCTCTGCAGGGGCTAGCAAGCCTGCAGTTTTGAGCCCGCTGTGGCTTAACACATACACGACATGAGTTTTTTGCTTTCAAGACTTTGAGGTGCAGTTTCCCTGAAATCCCTGCACCTATCTCCTTGAAACTCAGCAGGCTTCATGCCCTCAGAAGGGGCTACCATTCCTGCAAGTTTCATCCAAATTGGGACAGAAATGACAGTTGTAGGCTGTTGCGAGCTTCCCCGTTATAGCCTATGGGTGAAATGGTGAAACAGCATAACTGTTTCGACAAAACAATGGAACAGCAATTTTGAATCGAAGCGAAATTCAAAACAAAATGCTGTTCCTTCGAAACATCGAAATACAAGTTGAAACGAACGGTGCTGTTTCGCACAGCCCTGCTGAGCACCCTGTGGGCTTGGAACATCCTTGCACTTCACCTTGTGCATTTGAACCAGGCTGTTTGTTACTGTTTTTGAGCTAGTCAAGTGAGGCTGAGAGAACGTGGCTTGCCGACAGCCACACGGGAAGCTTGTGGCAGCGTTGGGACATACTGCTGGGTGTTCCAAGGCCTAGATTAACTTTTAAGTGTTGGGCTGCCTCTGCTTTGTTTGGTTAATATATGTTTATAGAATGTCTGCTCGAACACACAGCTCTTACAGGGTCTTATTCTTCCTGTCTGGCCCCCTTGGCAATAGGTGTAGCAAACCAGGAGGCTTCTCTTAGCTCTGATTATGGGGAACATAGAGCCTTAATCTGATTGCTTCTGTTGCTAGCTCCCATCTATTAGTGCAGCAAAGCTTTCGTAATCATGAAGGAAAGTCTACAAGCCAGGTTAGGAAAACCTCCTCCACGTTCTGCATGTAGTTCCGTGTCGTAACTCCTTTCCTCTGCTCCCACAGGCTGCAGCTATACCTCGGCAGAAAAGGAAGAAAGTTTCAAAATCAAACTCAAAATTGAACATTTCTGTGAACAGCCAGGTAAGTTTTTAAACAGCTGTTTTTAAAGGGAGAAGGCGTGTGTTCCCTAAGCCCTGTGACAGGCGGCAGGATGTGTATTTGAGGCATTTGCTTGGCTTTTCTGGGTTTGTTGGCTTTACCTTCATGAGCCTGTGGCTCTTGCTAATGGGAAGCTGCCCTGGTTAGTGGTGAAAGCCTTTGCGAGTGAAAAGCGCTGGCATCTGAGCAGCCTGCTTATGCTGCTGGCCTGCAGCCTTGTTCTGCATTGCAGTAGCCACCTCTGTGCCCTACAAGCTGCATTTTCTTGTGGGGGTAGAGCCTTGCACATGGTGGGAAGCCTTCACTCTTCTCAGGGAGTTGACCCCAAATTGATGTCTCTCTTCCCCATCCCACAAGCCACTACTCCTGCAGGCCACTTCCACGCTTGCTTTTACAAACATGGACACAAGAGAGCAGCACCACTCCACGTTAATGACAGGACCTGGAGCTCCTTTGTACTTGTTAGGTCACAATGCTCAGATGCAGGGAGAGTGGGCAGTTGTGACTAGAGCAAGCACAGAGTGACTGACTGGCTGCAGGCTTTGCCGGCACAGGTTGGGGCACCCAGTGCTGGGGCTCAATCATGGTGTAAAGCTGGGGCAGTCAGCAGTGATGCCAGAGCTTCACTGGCATCCTGAGTTCCCTCCAGTGTTTAAGCATCCAGGTGAAAGCACCCCTGTCAGTGGATGATCGCCACATGGAAGCTTGCAACCTCAGCTTGTCCCTCCACTTCAACAGGGGAGTAGTTTTGGTATTGAAGATCAGTGGTGGACTGGAGCTGTCAGCTGGGAGCCTCAGGCAGTAAGGTGTGACCTGGTCAGGGTAGGCCACGAGGCAGGAGCTGATGGATGGATGTAGGGACATGGGCTTCCCATTTGGGGGTGATGGGTGTGTGTGTATGTCCTAATTCTGTGCCACTCCACCCTCTTGGCTGTCAGTGCACAGATTGAAGGAGGGGTGGGGACAATAGGACAACTCCCCATTATGCTGCAGGCCCTGGGGATTGTGCTGTGCGACTTCCAGAGCAGCCAGTTTTGGCACTAGGAAAATCCCAGCTTTGTTCAGGCCTTTTGGAATACAGGACTGTCCCTTGGGGTCATTTCTCAGGCTACTTAGTGCTTGTGATGTCTAGACAGAAGCAAGAAAGGCACGTCGCCAGTAGCATGTGCCTCTCATGAGGTGTGAAGTCTCCGGATGCTCAGGGGCAACTAGCACAGGTTCATGAGCGGCAGGTCCTGTCAGACCAACCTGGTGGCCTTTTATGACCAGGTCACTAAATCACTGGATGCAGGGGTGGCAGTGGATATAGTTTTCCTAGACTTCAGGAAGGCTTTTGATACTGTCTCTCACCCCATTCTCATTAGGAAGCTGGGGGACTGTGGCGTAGACACCCATACAGTCCAATGGGTCGCCAACTGGTTAGAGAGTCGCACCCAGAGGGTGGTAGTGGATGGGTCCTTCTCGACCTGGAAGGACGTGGGAAGTGGGGTCCCACAGGGCTCGGTCCTTGGGCCCGCCCTGTTCAACATCTTCATCAGTGATTTGGATGAGGGGGTGCAAAGCACCCTGTTCAAGTTTGCTGATGACACTAAGATGTGGGGGGATGTGGGCACAATAGAGGGGAGCAACAGGCTACAGTTGGACCTAGATAGGTTACAAGGATGGGCGGAGGAGAACAGGATGGGGTTTAACACAGACAAGTGTAAGGTGATGCACCTGGGGAGGAACAATCGGCACCATACATACAGGCTGGGGAACTCCCCTCTTGTCAGCACGGAGGTGGAAAAGGATCTGGGAGTCATTATTGACTCCAAGATGAACATGAGTCGGCAATGTGGGGAGGCGGCTAGGAAGGCCAACTGCACCTTGTCGTGCATCCACAGATGCATCTCGAGCAGGTCCAAGGAGGTGATCCTCCCCCTCTATGCGGCACTGGTCAGGCCGCAGCTGGAGTACTGCGTCCAGTTCTGGGCGCCGCACTTTAAGAGGGATGTGGACAGCATCGAGAGGGTCCAGAGGAGGGCCACTCGTATGATCAAGGGACAGCAGGGTAGGTCCTATGAGGAAAGGTTGCGGGACCTGAACCTGTTCAGCCTTCAAAAGAGAAGGCTGAGGGGGGATCTTGTGGCCTGTTATAAACTGGTTAGGGGGGATCAGCAGGCGCTGGGGGAGTCCCTGTTCCCCCGAGCGCCGCAAGGAGTGACCAGGAACAATGGTCACAAGCTGGCGGAGGGAAGGTTTAAGTTGGACATCAGGAGGCGCTACTTCACGGTCAGGGCGGCTAGGGTCTGGAACCAGCTTCCAAGTGAGGTGGTGCAGGCTCCCACCCTGGGGGTTTTTAAGAGGAGGTTGGATGACCACCTTACTGGGGTCATTTGACCCCAGTGCTCTTCCTGCCATGGCAGGGGGTCAGACTAGATGATCTGCTCAGGTCCCTTCCGACCCTAGAAAGTATGATACTATGAAACTATGGTTGCCACCGGCATCTCTGAGCTCATTGCTGGCAGTCCAGGCTCTGGTCCTACTGCAATTCTTGGCCTTCTTATTTTGCTTCTTATGTGCCCAACATTGGGCCTCGTCCCTGGCATCCCCTAGTCATCAATTGCCTTGGAGGACATCTGTAAAATTGTAGCCCCTGTGGGGCTGCCCAGGGAAATCCAGATCTCTCTTCTGGTTCATTCAGCAGCATAGGGGTGAGCTGCAGTTGTGCCTGCAGGATTGAGAAAGCCAGCACCTAATGGAAGCAGATATGGCTGGAGCCAGCCCACTGGATGTTAGGCAGGCAGCCTCTGGGCATCATACTTGGAAAATGTTGGGAGCCCTCATCAGCTACATGAATTAATCAGTGCAGCTGGGACCATCCAGTTTGCATGCCTGAGGTGCCTGTCTGCATTGCGGTCTGAAAGTGTTGTCCTTGGAGGTGTTGCCTAGCTTTCTGCTGTCACTTATTAGTGGACCGTTTGTGCACTGCATGTCCTACTCCTTTGTTTAACGCAGCTGTTAGGGGCCAGCCACGCCTGGAGAGCAGAGTGCTGACATTTGGGATCACAGGAACAAGCTCCAGCAGTTCCTCAGGCATGTCTTGTACATCCACATAATCGGGGCAGGATTTGGGTGTGCGTTAACAAGATGTGTATTAAGCAATAAAGACGAGTGCTGGGAACTCCCTGTTTAATACAGTGCCACTGGGGTGCAAATCTGCCATAATCTGCAGGAACAGACCATAAGCCTGGTTAGAAAGTTTTCCAGGTTAGAAACTCTTTGCACTTGCTGTTTCCAGCATATAAGGAGCTGGGCTCCACTGGTTGCACCTGCTGAATGCTGTTACTAACTCTGAGTATCTCATTCGCTTTACCCAGGATCCCACCCCGGTCTGCACCCCCACAGTCCTCAGTCGTCGGAAATCTCAGCCCCAAGAAAGTGACTTGGATGACAGTGAAATAACCATCAAGCTGCCCCCGCCCAGCGTGAGTGCCAGGCCGAAGAGGACGCCAGCAAAGAGAAAAGGGAACCTGAAGAAAAAGAAATAAACATGACCCTCCCCTGTTAGTAGCCAAGTATTTTTTTTATTTTCATTTTTTACCCAAAAGGCCACTGGGAAGCCAGGGGTGCTTGCAGGTTTTGCTGGTTTGGCCTCCCTCCATTTGACTGGGCTAGAGGTTCGCAGCCTGTGTGTGGGGGGCTCCCCCTGCATGCTTTTGCAGGGGATCCCAGTCTTTTGGCACCGAGGGGAGCAGCAGCCCTTCTAGGAGGGAGCCCTTAGCTGGAAAATCCTGGGAACTCTTCTGTCTGACGGAATGAAAATGCCAGTCTCCTGCCCTGCCTGCTCTGTCCCTGAGTTAGCCATGCACCTCGCTCCTTGCATCTTATTAGTGCAAAGAAATCCTTGGTGCTTTCCAGCCCTCCTCCAGACCTGGTGCTGCAGTATGTTTTACCATTGTAAAGAGCTGTAACAATGTGATTTATTTTTATAAATATTTTAGAGACACTCTGTTTCTGTCAGGAGTGAGCCACCTTCTCACCATGATGGAGCAGTCCTCTCATTCATGAGTCCCACTGGTTTAGCTAAAGCTTCAGGCTCTTTGCAAGTGGAACCCAGACCTTGTGCCTTAACCACCAATTAGCGCAAGCATTTTTGAAAGGAACTTCAACTTCCTGCTCTTCAACATACTTTAAGAACTAGCATCAGCCTATGGGCGGCTCAGCCAGGGACCTAAGCAGCAAGTAGAAGCAATGTAATGGTTGTCTTCCTGAAGTGTGTAGTTTTGTCATTATATGTAAAAGAATATGTCAAAATCTGTGATTTTTATTTTCCGTTTCTCATAAGCATTTTTCAACACTGGGAAGTAGGACGGTGAGTTCTGTCCAGGCAGTGAATGGTGCCGAGCCCTGCTTTGAAGGGGTCATAGCCTAGATGTAATCAGTTCTCATCTAGAGAATGGGCAAACTTCTGCTCTTGTCCTTGGTGATACAGGTGTCTCTTCCTTTGAAGGATGAGTGTGGCTAAGACCTGAACCAGAGTGGAAGATTTGGAGGTTGTACTCGCAGCTCTGCCAGTCTGGCCTTGGGCAACTCATTTAACTGCTCTGTGCCTAAATGGTGCCATCTGCAGAATAAGGGTTTTGTCTCTCTTTATTGGGGGAAATAAATTCTGCCTCTGCTGCTCTGAAGCGGGTTACCATGGTGTGTTTAGTCTTGCACTGATACTGTATGCCTGTGAGTTGTGGGAGTTCATTCCCAAGTGAATGGCATGGCTCCTGTTTTGATGGCAGAGGGCATGGAGGCTGGCTTGACTGCTGCAAAAAGAATTAAGCTGTCATAAGCTGGCCTCATCTGTCACAGATGCATGGGAGCTCTTCAATCTGACACTGGCTCCAGCGAAGTGTGCAATGCTGGGAGTGAGTGAGCCTGGCACAGCTGTTGGGGTGACTGCCGGTTCAGCCTGAACTCCTCTAATGTCTCGTCTCACCGTGGCTTGGGGAGATTATTTTGGCACAGGCTGTTGAGGTGTTCCCAAGGGGTGATCTGAAGCTGGGCGGGGGAGACGTCACAGTACAGTTCTCCAGCTGTTTTCCCTGTCAGGTATGATGAATCCTACTCAAAGTAGAGGCTGTGCCTTTAAAAGGCCCTTTGGTACTAAGCTGTGTTCAGGTGGGGTATTTTACCTTGTAGGTGTGTTGAATCCCCTGTATTCTGCCCCTTGTAGAAACAGCTGTGGTGACAGGTCATGTTTAAATTTTGCTCATCACTGTGCAGCCTTAACAAAATACCTGGCCTTAACTGCTCATTGCTTGAACAAAGATGCTCCTCCTGTTACAGTGTTATAAGCTCTAGGTCTAGTTCAGCAGAATATTTCAGAGGAAACCCCAGGCCAATTTTGGAGCCAGTCAGGTAAGGTCCATGCTACTCTGGGGCTGCCTAGCAGCACAAGAGAAGTTTGATAATTTTCTGACATCCTTGTGATTTGAACAGTCACACAAATGAGGACTAACTCCAGCTGCTAGCCTGTGCTTAATGACTAGTCAGCTAATTCCCTTTGATATCTCCTAGCAATTAAGAAAGCTTGGGGCTGGATGTGTATTCAAGCAGTTGACTTCTTGGACAAAAGGCAGCTCTGGGGAAAAGACCATGCCAGCCTGATACAATCCCCAACTGTACTTTGCTTCTTTACTAGCAGCAGCGTGCCTTCCTATCACGTAACACACTAGTGCCAATGCGTTCCTTTGGCTTTGCATAGCAACATTAATTTTAAGCGGGAAGGATTTGTTAACTAGTTACTTTTTCAGGTAAGAGCCTGAAAGCAGCCTTAAGGTGGGTGTTTGAAAACCAGTGAGAGGGTAGGAAGCCCAGGCAAGGTATTGCTAATCTGCTACTAGTAACCAAGTAACTTGAGCTGGAATTTGTCTGCAGTAGCAGCAGCCTGTTTAAGACGGCAGGAATGGGGAGGGCCTGCAATTAGCCGTGGCTACTTTATACAGCACAAAGTAATAGGAGAAGCAAAGATCCAGCCTATTTGCCCTGTGCTGTGCGCTCTCAAAATGCTGCTGCTTGACCTGATATATTTCACGTCAGCAAAGGCTGCTATACAAAGTAATCGGAACATGTGCTCCTGGTCAAGGTTTCTAGACTTGTGTGCTGTCAAAGAGACTTTCTAACACTGGGTGGCAGTGGATACCCCACCTCTTGCTGAGCAGACAAAAAGAGACTGGCGTCTCAGGAATCATTTCCGTGGTTCGCATCAAGGTTACGTGGCTCTTGGCTGGGTGGAGGCAGTGAGATGGTCTGATACTTGGGCATCTGTGGGATTCTCTGAGGTGTCCACCACATTGGTGTTTGCAAAGTTGTTATGGGACCTGAATAAAACCACTCCTGTAGAGGGAAAATGCAAACCTCTACAACTCTTGGTTCAGAGATGATACCTTTTATTAGACCAACTGAGAAAATGCACAAAAAAAATCTTTCTTTGCAAGCTTTCAGGTTCACGTGCCCTTCCTCAGGCCTAGGGAAAATTAAAGATAGTACAAGTCCCCATAGGTGCCTTTGTGTAAAATGAAGTTTATTATTCTACCTGGGGGCACTTGTATTATCTTTAATTTTCCCTGAGCCTGAGGAAGGGCATGAGAGCCCAAAAGCTGGACCCAGAGGAAAAGACTTCCACCTTCAGCTGCTTCTGTGCGAAAATGAAGTTTATTTTCTACCTATGGGGACTTTTTATCATCTTTGATTTTACCTGAGCCTGAGGAAGGATATGCGTGCCCAAAAGCAGGCAGAAAAGGTTGGTACCAACTGCAGAGACTTCCTCAGCCTGATGAAGGGTTTTTAAACCTGAAAGCTTGCTAAAACTTTTTTTCCAACGATTTAAGTTGGTCTAATAAAAGATATCAGATTCACCCAAAGAACCTTGTCTGCAGAAAAAGATATTGCAAAAAAAATTCTCAGTCTAATAAAAGGTATCATCTCTGAACCAAGAGTTTTCTAGTTTTGCATTTCTTTTTGTCTCAGATCAACATGGCTACCAAATACATTCGTATTTGGTGCTGGCAGAAATGATGATGAATACTCCTGGTTGAGGACATGGTGTTAGACTACAGCTCTCAGACTTGCTTCGCTTATCCAGCTTGCTGCGGAGAATTGCTTCCTCCCTGTTCCCTTCCTGAACGTGGTCTGACACTGCATTCCCTTATCTTGTACCCTCGGCTTCTCCCTGGGTGTCCTGGCTCTGCTGCTTCCCCGCGGCCCCTTTCCTGGGGACACTCACGCCAGTGCAACTTCCTACTGGCTTTTCCTCCAAGCACTGGCTGTGCCTGGAAATAGTCCATCTGGTCCTGCATGCCCTATGCTGAACAAGCCAGCCAGCCTTGCCCTTCATACCATTTGCCCAGACCCACTCCTGGGAGCTGGCACCTGCGTTGGCCACACGCCTTCCTGTCTCAGCCTGTCCCCGTATTCCTGCTGTGTTTACTGTGAGCTTGCCAAGGAGCTGCTTGGGGGAGCTGGGCACAGTGTGTCACTGAGTCCATCTGATACTTGAGGCTTGCTGTAACCCTCCTCTTCCCAGCCTTTATTGTCCTTCCTGTGCCAAGATGAGTTTAGACTGCAGGACAGGGCTGTAAAAGTGCTTGGGTGTGCAGGGTGCTGCCCATGCTGACAGTGCTGTGGAAGGACCTGGCAGCCAGCTAGCCTCAACAGCACTGTAGGAACCGGCCCCAGGAGCACAGCCTCTGCTGGCTGTTTTTAGGCTGCCCGTGTTATTAATACCCGGCTCTCCGGGGTTGTGCACGCAGCAGAAATGCGGATACCCGATCCTTCCCAAACATAGTTTCCGTAGCAAATGGGCAGACGTGCTGTGTCATGAGTTACGCTGCCGTCCTCGCTGGGGCGTTTGGCTCCGTGGTCACTTGCTGGGTCAGGCCAGATAAATGCAAACGCTGCTTGTGTTGGTCAGGAAGCTGCCAGATGGTTGTGAAGGGTTGACAGATTCCCAACAGACTGGCTGGTTATGGGCCTCAAAAGTCACTGGGGTGGTTCTTAGTGGCTCCTTGGATGAAAAAAGAGAGGAGAAAATTAAATGAAACAAGTGATCAAGAGCAAGAGATGCGTTGCCAAGTCCTGATCCAGGCTCAGACCCTGATGGGCTAGGAAGCAAGGGCAAAGGGGTCCATGTGTCCTCTAGCAGTGAGGAGTGGGACATGCCCTGCTTGTGTAGTAGTTTGGGGATTGTAGTGTAGTTCCCATGCTTGAGATCTGCCCTCCAGGATTTGGTCAGTGCTGGTGTGTGCCTGTTGAGGGGTCCCTAGTGGGCACCGAGTGGGAGAAGAGTGGTTGCACTATGTCACAAGCCATCATCTTTTGGGCTTGCTTGCCCAGAAAGTGCCTCACCCTGCAGACTGAACATGGGGCCCCAGCCTGGCAGCAAACAGCTTGGGGCTGAGGAAACACCCAGCAAACAGGAATCAAACCAGCTTCTAAATCAGAGTTACACCTGGTCCTGTCAGACTGGTGTTAGACTGGCTGCAGGAAAGGTGGGAGTGAGGGGGAGGCTGATGAAAGCCCAGGCAGGGCTCACACCCCTCTCCGCTTCAGGCTCACCAACAATGAATGGTGCAGATTGCGGTAGGGGGTGTTAATAGGATTGATTATTTAATGTTTATAATGTGCCAAACGGGTCAAGGCTTTGTTCTCAGGTGCTGCAGTAGTCTGGAAAGGCCGTGCCCCTCCCAGCTTGTGTTCCAGGAGACAAGACATGGCAAGTGGATGAGACGGGGATACTCTGGTGTATTGCAGTCCTGTGCAAGGGGCCACACAGATGCATCAAAGAGCTGGACCTGAGGTTTCAGTCCAATGCATGTGACCCGGGCTGGCTATTAAAAGTAGAAGGTGCAATCCCAGAGGGCGATGACTGGCGCTTGCTTTGCTAAGAGCGTGCTGGAAGCAGCAGCATTTGCTGGATCCAGCTGGGGCTGGAGGGTCAGGATGCGTGTACTGCCATGTGGCCTGATGCCCGGGATTTCAGATATGTCCCATGTGATGTATTTGTTTGGTCCCCCTCACCCTGGCAGAGTGCCCCAAGGCAGCTGTTAACAAATCAGAAGGGAGACACCTGTCAAGGCAAAGCAAGGGAAAGCTCGGTCCCTCTGGCTGAGTAAAGGGCAGCCAGTTATAAGGTCACATGGGCGATGCCCTTAGTATTCTGCATAGCAAAAGCTTTCTTGGGCTCGTCAAATCCAGGAGTGGTCAAGAGCAAGCAAGGAGGGGAAATGCTAGAGCCGTGGAGTGAGGGCGGCCTGCGGTATGCTAAAGACACTTGCTCTCGTTGGGGCACAGTGCACAGTGCTGCTAGAACAAAAATTACAAGGGAGGGATATGCTGATGCCTACAGAGGAGCAAAGCCCAACATCTTGAGGGTTCCTTGCTATCTAGAGTGATCGGGATTTCCATTACCAGCTACTGCAGCAACTGCTGTCAGTGGACCCCAACCCTGGCACCATATGGTGGGTATAAATCTTTGTAACCTTACCCAAGCCAGGTGTCTGGGGCCGGAAGCAAAGCTCTGGTCTCTTATCAGCGTTTTTAGGATGTCAAGCAGAGTGCCTCTTCTCACTGCCGTCTCCTTTAACTGTTGAAAGGGGGGTGGGAAGGGAGGAAATCCACAAACCAGAAGTGACCCATCTG